ATTTGGCTTTGATCTGACTTTTCGTTAATTTATGGTGAATTTTTTTCTTGAAAAAAGAAACATCGTTAAGTGAAGCAGGGGACCTAAAATCGCATTCGTTATGCGAAGCATGGTCCCAAACTTTGCTAAGCGAAAATCGCCCATAGGAAACATCATTATACAGTGCATATTATTTTCTAAAAAAACACATCGTTATGCGAATTCATCGCTAAACGAGGCACTCGTTAAGCGAGGCACCACTGTATTATCTAGTTTAATCTTGCATTCTGCCCTGAAAATGGTCATGAACAAGAAGGCAGAAAACACATTCTGAAATAAGCATAAATAAATAATAAGTCACCTTTCAGTTTCAAGAAAGGATCTCTTTTCTGAAAACTACACTTATGGGAGTGAGATCTTTCTTGAATCCACACCGAACAATCAACCTGTGCCTCAATTTTTTACAGACAGTTTGCCTATAGAAGTGCTTCAGTCTGACAGTGAAGATGCCTGAAGATGTCTCCACATTGGGGCTAATACTATACACATTTTACACATAATTCCACCCAAGACAATAGCTGAAATCCCCTTCTGCAGCATAATACGACGCACTAGAGTAAGGCCCATTTGAATCTATGGAATTTATAGATGAGTTGATTCATCAAATTTCCACTAATTCAATGGGTCTATTGTAGTGTGACTCACTATGCTAAGCAGGATTTCAGCCAGTATTCGACGTGTATTACTCATACAAGAAATGGTTCAGAAAGATGAACACAGACTTTACCTGGTGTGAAACATTCTCCCTTACATTAATCCAAGAGAATTTTCACACCACTTGAAACTCCTCTATGCTGCTGACAACAGACAATGACCCCGTGAAATTGTTGTTGTGCCATGTGCCTGATTAACAATAACACCACACTGATATTTAACTGAAACTTAGGATTTTTGTTGAAATGTGTATCTGCTATATAATAGCAATCAAAGATTGTGTCTTATATTTAACAACAATACAAGAACTCCAAACTAATGTCATGAAAGCTAATATTCAAGGATTTAGTGTAAACAGCAAATTTTGAAGAAGATGAAACTGTATCACACGTCATATGTGAATGTTTTCTTTTATCATAGAATCATAGAAGCTGGAAGGCCATCAAGTCCAATTCCCTGCTCAGTGCAGGAATACAAATCAAAGGATATCTGCCAGGTGGTTGTCTAAATTTCTCTTCAATGCCTCCAGTGTTGGAGCACTCATCACCTTTCGAAGTACCGTATTTGCCGGCATACAATATGACTTTTTTGGCCCCAAAACATGCCTCCAAGTGGGGGGGGGGTTTGTCTTGTACGCTGGGTGCATTTCATTTGGGCCAGGAAGGAGGTGCCGCCGCTGCCACCACCACTGAGTAAGTGACACGGGAGAGGAAGGCAGGCGGCCAGGCAGGCGGTCGGTCCGGAGGGAGGGAGGGGAGCAAAGCCGGCCATGCCTGAGTGGCCAGAGCCTGCTGCCCCACACCGCTGAGCCCGCTCGACCGTGCACCACCGGAGAGCTGCTTCTTCCTCTCCTCCTCCTCCTCTGTCGCCCACTTCCCTTCCCTTCCCTTCTCGCCCTTGCACCTGAGCCAGCTCGCCCGCTCAGCCGCGCGCCACTGGAGAGCTGCTTTTCCTTCCCCTCTGCCGCCGCCACCCGCTTCCCTTCCCTTCTTGCCCCAAAAACATGCCTCCAAGTGGGGGGGTCACCTAATATGCCCAGTCACCTTGTACGGCAGCAAATACGGTAATGGATTCCATTGCCTTACAGTTCTGCTGAAGTGGAGGTAGCTTAGAAGTTTGACTATTTGATCTCTACAAAGATTCTTGATGTCCACAAGCCCACCCTTGCCCATGCTCCATGGCAGATAAAGGCCCTCCATACATGCCTTTGGATGATGGCACCAGTAGCTTGTTAGGAGGACTTGGGCTTTTCTCTTTAAGTCATCAAGATCACTATACTTCCACTGTATGTTCATATCGGGGTTGCCCAGCTATTAACAGCAGTAATTTTTATTTTTATTCTGTTCTGAGTACTCTATCAAAGTACTTATTTCTGAATAACAATTTAAATTCCTTGTGGTTTATATTAAGATTTTTGTGGATGCCCAAAGAATTACTGGTTTTCTGCTTCTCTAAGCACTAAATAAAACTTCCATCTATGAGCTCTTAGTTATTGTCTTCTGAGAATTTATCTATTTTCATGTGGATAATAGCACATTTATCAATACCAATGCCGGCCACAGAGACTGGCGAAACGTTAGGAAGAACAACCTTCAGAACACGGCCAAAGAGACCGAAAAACCCACAACAACCAATACCGAAGTTCATTTTGTTATCTATACTGTACCATAAGGTTCTTTGTTTGTTTGTTTAGAAATATTTGATTAGCTGACAAAGGGAGTTTCCAAAGGAGAAAAACTATGGTACTATGACCTGTATTGATAATTACTATAATATCTGTCCAGGAAGACCTCACTCAGATTCCTGTGGAAATCAGTTTCAAACACTAAGACCAATACTTTATTCCAAGAAGGGTAGCTGAGTTCCCCTGAAAGACATTTAAGTCATGGAAATGGCTGTTAAAATATAGACAAGAACTTAAACTAATTCAATATTGGTGAGAATCAGAGTAAGAATTTCCAGTCCCATGGCACATTTTGACAGCATAATAATCAAACATACAGAGCATGCTTCGATGCAACTGGGCAATAAAGTTTATAATATGCTTTGCAAATAGATCTCTAATCACTCTGATGCCAAACTCCACTTTAAACGCCAAGGGTTTAGGAAGTTGGCAGGCACAGTTCAAGCTAAAGAAATAACAGAAGAGAATAAAAACCTAGATTGAAATGGAGATCTGCACTTTTAAATTCATACAAATATTAGTTACATTGCTAACATTGTAAAGACCGCATTTTCTGTTAGGAATATCTTGACCAGAAAAGAGGAAAACACATAATATAATCAGTATTTTAACATGAATTACCATTTACCTAAATCTGTTCCTTTTGCATGCATCACAAACTATTAGGTGGAAGAGGGCAATGAGAAAATCTGTTCTCTGAACTATGAACTGTCACAGGCTCACAGCACATCAATGTACTACTATTAATAGACAAATCTGATGTGGGCCACCCTAAATAGGCTATAGGACAGCACAGCAATGGCAGAGTGGCACTCTTACTGACCAGGTATAGCTCCAGGCCATTATGCAGGTGGTGGTAATTAACATTTTGACCAACATGTATACATTCCAAAGCATTAACACAAGCAATATTGTATCAGGCCATGAATGCATGAAGCTGCCTTATAACTTTGATCTATCTAACTAAACGCTGATTTCACTGAATAACAGCAGCGCTTGAAAGTTTTAATCATCTGTTCTCCACAGCCCTCCTATCTAAGCCACTTTAATTGGAGATGTGAAGAATTAAAACTGAGGCATTCATCATAATATACATCATAGTCACTCTATGAATCAGCAGAGTATGGGGGTGAGTGAGCTGCACAACACATGCCAGATACAGAACATGCATAAACACAGGAAAACGCTGCTCTGCCTTACCCTTCTGCCAAGGATCTGGTTGATGGCTGCACTTTCTTTCAGAGTACACTCTGCTACAACATTTGCTCTCATCTCTTTCATGTATAACATGAAAGCATTCAGAGGTTTCTTAATATGAGGTCTTTTGGGCTCTTGTTCTTTCCTCTGTTCATGCTGAGGCTTCCTAAAGGTAGCAGGAGGAAAAGATAAACAAAAGGAATGCAATTATCATCACATTCATCTCCAGACATATTACACACAAACACACATTCCAGATAATCAACTATCTCTCTTCCCTGGTTTTTTGATTGGTCTTACTTAATTTGTTATTAAAGTTTTTTAAAGGGAGGGAGGGGGGAAAGCAAGCAAATCCAGTCACTAGTTCCAGTTACAGAAGACCTACAGAATCAGTGAGATTTATATGAGTGTTCATATACCATTAAGCAGTTCAATGGATCAATCCTAGTTGGAACAAACAATTGGATAAGAACACAGCTAAACAGACCGAAAAACCTACAACAACCATTGGAACCCAGCCATGAAAGCCTTCAAGAATAAATTGGATAAATCATTGTAACTTCTGTAAGGTTGTTAATCCTTCCTTTTGCATTCTACAAGCAGGCCTTCCTATATTACATATTCACTCACAATTTTCAAGATTATTACCATCCTTATGCCTGATCTGTATAGGTACAGAGGATCACAAATCTTCCCAACACTATTGTTTTGATCAAAGGAACAAGTAACCTGTAAACACACTCCCATAATTTTTATTAGTAAGAATACTCAGTAATAGTGTTGAAAAACAGAATTTTCTGCAATGTTGGAATTTCAAAAACACACACAAACGCACACTGGATAATCTTCTGCCAACCTTAAAAGAGTCAACTAATGCTTCAATTTGGTGTTAGAGATAATTGACCCTCTGGCCTATGTCACTCTTTCACGTTTTCATTCTTAAGACTGTTATATTTCTTCATTAACTTGCAATTTTAACCCTCTCAAAATACATACTGAAATGCACAATAACAGCATGTACAGTGGTGCATCAACTTACGACCATAGTCTGTTCCAGAAGACAGATGTAACTCAAAATGGTCGTAAGTCGAAGCATCATTTCCCATTGAAAACAACAAGCCTAGTTAGAATGCGCTGGGGCTATAACCCCCCCAAAAAACAAAAATAAACAGCAAGGCAAGCCCCGTCGCTGGGGCTTAAAAAAACACACCAAAAATAAACAGCAAGGCAAGCTCTGTCGCTGGGGCTTTAAAAAAACCCCAAAAACAAACAGCAAAGCAAGCCATGAAGGCGCTGGGACTTTAAAAAAAAAATCCAAAAATAAAGGAGCAGGTCCTGTTGCAAGGTGCTGGGGTTGCAAAAAAACAAAAACAAAAACAAAGAAAAACAAAAAAAAACACCACACACACACCCCAAAACAAAACAACAACACGGCACAGAAACATAACCCCCAGCTAAAAAAACACCATACACACACCCCAAAACAAAACAACACGGCACAGAAACATACCCCCCAGCTCAAAACCACGCTGCAAAACCCACCCAGAACAGTTTTTAAAAAGCAGAAAACTGCATGTGTGCACGCACGCACACACACACACACACACACAAAGAGAGAGAGAGAGAGAGAGAGAAGCAGAAGCGAGGCAGTCCGAAGCCTCCTCTAACTGCTGGGCCGAAAGAGCTCCAAAGGAGCAGCCTCTTCGCCACCTACAGTTAGCAATCTGAATTTCCCGCCTTCCCCCCCCTACCTTTTTGTGTTCGTAAGTGGAAGCTCCGGTCGCAAGTAGAAGCAAAATTTTGCAACCGGAGCTGGTCGTAACTCAAAATGGTCATTTAGTAGGGATAGTTGTAAGTCGAGGCACCACTGTATTTCAATATGCAACTCCCCCCCAAACATTATTTATAAATAGAATTTTTGTACATTTACACCACATACCTTTGCTGGATACATTCAAACTAGAGCACTGGAAGTCATGATCTAGTGACTGAAATAATCAGTGGCTGCTCATTTAACTCAATAGTTTTGATTTATTACAGGTGATGACGGGTATTTAACTTCTGATTATTTTTGGTTGGATTTATATGGTTTCTTCATGTTATGTAAACTGTCTCTAATGACCTCACAAATTGGGGCAGCATATAAGCTAAACAAACAAATGAGCAAACTGATTTTTTTTAAAGCTAATCCCTCAATTCAAGTTTGAAATAGGTGGAAATTTCAAAAACAAGTTGGTCCTAGATCAAATCAAACCTAAACTATTTCTGGAGGCAAAAATATTGAAACTGAGGATGGCCTACTTTGGACATATCATGAGAAGACAAGATTCTCTGGAAAAGACTGTAATTGTGATAAAGTTGAAAGGCAGCAGGAAAAGAGGAAGATCAAATATGAGATGGACTGACTCCCTAAAAGAAACCAACGGCATGAGTCTGCAAGACCTGAGCAGGGCATCGGAGGATAGGACATTTTGGACAGCACTCATTCGTAGAGTCAACATGAATCAAATGTGACTTGATAGTACATAATATTGTCAGTACATAATACATAATACAGTACATAATACATAATACAGTAATATAGTACAACAATATACAGGCATAAATGTAACACAATTCCCCAGGAACAGAAAAAGAAAACAAATTCACTCCCACAATATATTTCTGCCATGGTCACTCAACTCTCACCCATTATAGCATTAAAAAAATAATTGAGAACTCACTCACACGTGCATTAAGTCGCTATCTGTGTGTGGGTGTTCTTGTTTGACTTGAGGTGTTACAATTGCTGGATGAGGGATTCCTGTTGCGTGGGGTCCTGGGGGACCAGGAATCATATGATGTGAAAACCTGTGAAAACATAGTGTAGTCTTCTTCACAATGGCAGCAGGAGCAGAATGTAAAAAGACCATATGAATCAAGACGAAGCCTCGGAAACAATTTATTCATTCTGAACACACAGCAAAGATGTCCCGATAACACCCATGTGTGAAACAGTTATTTGGCTAAGACTTGTAAGTCGATACAAATAGAAATGCTGTTCTCCTACTATCTAGGAGACAGATTTTAGTCCTCAGACTTCTCAACAGGAATCTGAGATTTGATACGTGAATTTAATGTAGCCAATCTTTTAAAAGCTACAGAGCCCTTAACCAAAGAAAGCTATTTCCACACAAGTATAAAAGAAGTTCAGTTACCCACCACCAGCACACCCAATGTGGGAATTATCATGCAGAAAAAAAAGGTTTAAGAACAGTTTCTATAGGTTCTTACTATTGTTTTTCAACTCTACAAGGATCCAAATCCTAGACTACTCTTTGGCTTCCTTATTAGGAAGATTCTAGTCAACATTAATTAATGTACTATGGTTTCTAAGAATATCCACTCATTGATAGCTACGTCAGCCAGAAGACAAAACTCCTTGGCAAAGCTAACTTTCCTATTGTTATTTTTTAAATTAAATCAAACCTATGTTCAGAACTGTACAAAGGTATGATTCTGTTACATATTCTGGCCCATGTTTCATCAATATTGATCATAAGTCCATGAAGAGAATGAAAGAGGGTATGATGATTTGCCCTAGACACAGATCCAAATCATTGTACCTCTGTTGTGAAGGTTTACTCCACAGATGAATTGCATGGAATAACTAAAAGCGCTGGCATTTAAATCTGGTTCACTATTATCCTCTAGCTAGCTGGATAGCTCAGTAGTTTAGGCATCTGGCTAAGGAGCCAGAGGTTGGGATTGCTCTAAGCCTTCTTAAATTCTCTCATCCTCTCTGCCTGATTAAAATATGATGACAATATAACCTGTTGCACAATTTGTGAAAAAAAAAACAGAGAAGTAAATATTAGCTGCTTTAAAAGCACACTAAATTGTTGTTTTGGGGAAAGTTGTTTGTACAGCTAGGAATTTGTGATGGATGGTTACCAACTAATCAGGGAATAAAAGGCTACTAAATGATAGAAACACAGGAAGAGAATCAGAATGGAATCCACATCAAGACTGCTGACTTGTATGCCTGCATAAATTGGTTTTGGCAGTGTGTTTTAAATCTGTAAAATGTGCAAGTGTTCACCGCAGTCTTTGGATACAGCAAGCACAGCACTTAGATCCCATTTTTCCATAGCACAGAAACATGACATAGAATGATGCAAAAGTATGCCACTGCCAAGTCCCGGTTAGTGCTGCTTGCTTTTGCACCAAGAATAGCATACCACAATTACAGATACAACCATGTGTACACAGCTTCTTTTGCCTGTATTTTAGAACAGGTTGGGGCTTGGAAATTTCCTTACAAGTGCTGCAAAGAGCAAAACACCAGTGGGGAGAAAACAAGGCAACTCCAGCGAACAGGGATGACTGTATATTAAATTAGTGGTTATATAAAATGATGAACATGCTGTTTAGATTACTATAAAGTATAATAATAAAAAGGTATAAAATATAATAATTTATTTTATTTTATTTATAATATAAACCAACTCTCTTCCATGAAAACTCAGAGTAACATACTTGAGGTTCCTAAGAAACCATCCACCTAAACATCGACCAAAGCGAGACCTGCTTAGTTTCAGCAAGGCTGTTGTATCTTAGGCTTTCAGAGCACACTGAGCTTAAAGTACTATGGATTGAAGACAAGCTGTATACACACAGTAATATTACACATATAGATGTGCAGCTATAAAGATGCATTTCTGCTGACTGGGGACAGGGTAAGGAGCAAGCAAAGGCATATCCCAGGATACAAGCAGGAGAGCAAATTGTTCCTTTAATTCCAGTGGTAACTCCTTAGCTGGTCAGTCATTCTGCACCTACACCTACCTTGACATGGAAGTGTCGACTGAAAGTGAGGATGGGTAGGGCTGCCTGAATCCACTTGACATGGGATATACAGGCTGACCTTGCCTGAGGTCACAGAAGAAAGGAACCCATCAATTATACTGTAACAGAAGTGAACCTGACTTTTAACCAAACACCAAAGATGCGATAACCTAGGTAACAAAGGGAATATATTGCATTCTAATTCCAAGTTCTGTTGATTTCCTGGTAGTATTTAAGAGAAAAATCATTACTCTGGATTTCTCAAAGATTTGTTTGAATTGCACTTTCTGTAAAATGGATTAAAATTAACATGATTTTTTGAAAAATGTCTTCTTACTGGACTTTCTATAAAATGGATTAGAATCACCTAGAATTTATTTGGTGAATGATGAGATACAGTATATCAACAGCCTTTTGTTTGCCTAGGAGATTTTGGAAACAATCATTCTATGAGGTTATGGCTTGTATACTGATGGTCTTCAATTAGAAATTCTGAACACCTCAACAAATTAGAATTCCTATAATACATTTTGAGAAAACACATGGCAGACAAAATTGTATAAGGTTTGCATAAATTTGCAGGGTGGACCGGGCGATACAGTGGGGTCTTGACTTAAGAACGGCCCAAGTTAAGAACTTTTTGACTTAAGAACCGCTCTCATAGGAAAATATTGACTTGACTTCAGTACTTAGATTTGAGTTACGAACTGAAAAAACCCACGTGGGAGGCAGGGAAAGTGCAAAATGTGAACTTTCAGTTGACTGTTGGCCAGTGAAAAGGGTGCCTGTCTGCTTCCTCACTCCTCCCAGAGTTTAGAGAGTGGATTGGGAGACAGTCTTCGGACTGCCTGGTACTGTACTGCCTGGACTGTATTTTCCCTGCCTTCCCTGAACCTTTCTTGACCTAAGAAAAAAAGAAACAAAATATGCCCCTCTAGTGGTCGAAGGCGAATAGCAGCTTCCCATTCGTTTCCATGGATGGAAAAGAGCGGATACGGATCAAATGGTTCTCAATGCATTCCTATGGGAAATGCAGATTTGACCTGAGAACTTTTTGACTTGAGAACCGCCTTCCAATACGGATTAAGTTCTCAAGTCAAGACCCCACTGTAATTCTAGTGAAATTAATAGATACAGTACTTATCTCTCAGTTTGCAAATGCATGAAAAATAAATAGCATCTTACGAGGCACAAGCTATTTTCTATTTCATTCTGAAAATTGTCACATCAATGTTTCCTGGACTGTTAGTCAGGATACTTCAGAGGACAGACACTGGCAGGTTCTGACTCAGAGCTTCCTCAAACCATTCATCGCCTGAGAGAAATTATCCTTGTTTCCTTGTCTGAGAGATAAATTGCTCAAACTATCCACCCACACAAACACTGTCTCTAGAGCCTCCACTCTGCAGCTATTAATATTACCTCTAGTCATATAGAAGCTATTTCAAATCTACTGCTACCAGTAATGGCTCCAGGGATTGGTGAGGGACAAAGCTTTGGGCAGAGCACACGGATCCAACCCCCTCCCCTTAAATAAATGGAAGAGTGGAGGACAGGCAAACAGAGAATTTTTAGGGTGAATTTAATGCTCTTGGATTCTTTAGGTAAAAAAAAGGAAATCTATGACTTTCAAGGCACTCCATTCCCAGCTTGGTGTACTCATCATCATCATCTTAGAACTGCAGAGCTGGAAGAGACCCTATGGATAAATGAGTCCAGCCCGTATCAAGGCGGCACAGTGGTTAATCCAACTCTCATTTACCTACACTACAGAGTTACCCACCGGTTCCTTCACAAAAGGAAATACCCGAGTTTGGTGCACTTAGGAGCCAGTGAGGACAACCATTGCTGTTCGTTTCCCAGCCCCCTGCCAGATCATGTCCTCCTGCAGCAGCACTGAGAGAAAAGTTTTTAAACTAGTAAGGACAGAGGTGTATGTGAACTAAGATTCCTGAAGCAGACTGGTTTGGGTGTCTCATGGAGAACAGCAACAGCCACTTCTCCGGCAGCTAAGGAAGATTTATGAGTTTCATAAAAGTTTAATATCAGCGGCTTTCTCCCTCACTCTTTTTTGACAAAACATTATCTTGTTAAGAGTCTTCCTTTTCCATAGCTACATAAATATTTTTTTCCTGAATCTAACTGGGGAAGACTGGGATGGTCATCCTTCTGCATTTTATCTCAAAGTAAGCAGGGTAGGGTTTAAGAAAAGCTAAATATTTCTTTGTACTTAAAGGTAAATATATACACTCGACTCAAACGCAAAACATGAAACCTTGAGAGAGCAAAAAACAAAACCACTTTGGTTTGAAGTTCCAGTCTTCTTCAAAATGCCATATCCCACTAGGGCAAATTGATTGCCTCAAATACTTTGAACTTTTTCTGCTTAGTTTACATTGTCTTTTCCTCCAGCTTGCATTGATGCAACTTCTGAGCAGGATTTAACACACTTAAGTAGCAAAGTTCAGAGAGAATAATTGATCTCCTCTTGAAAGACTACGCTCAATTCTATTCAAGCAGAGCTATTGATTGACAGATTTAATGTTTTAAGGAACTGGCATTTTCCAAAGCTGCTGGCCCTTTATTATGCTCACCATGACAGACTTCACACTTAAACAGAGCTCCACGTGTATGCTGTAGGGAGAGCCACTGCACCAATGTGAAGGCGCTAGAAATCAACATTATCCATCTTATAGCACATTTTTAGCTGGAGAAAGCAGAGCAGAAGAGCAATTTATGCTAGACATCATCTGGACTATCAGCATTTTTTCATGATTCATCCTCTTTGCGGGGAGGACAAAACTTATTGAATAAGTATTTGGAACAAAATGCCAACACTTAAAAGCTGGAATGGAAGCCACAGTAAACCACCACAGTGAAAAGGCACAGCAGTATTAAAAGAAAATGTGTATTACATAGTCTGCTTGTTAAAATACATCTCTAATTACAAGGTTATTTTGTAAATTTGCAATGTTTTTTTTCACATGTGTTGCAGGCAGTAATTTTGCTGGTATTTTCCAAAATATTTATGTAAGTTAACTCTAAGATTAGGGCCCATCCTGATAAACTACAGAGAGCTGGCAACTGAGGAATTTTCCTGTCTGTCCTCCAAAGTCTATCAAAATGATGATACAATCATTCCAGCTTTACAAATCCAAAGGAGATGTACTGATTACCCATTGGGTGTCCAACTGTACAGCAGGACTGGGAAACTTCTGGCCCTCCAGATATGACTGGATGACAGTGCCTATTATCCCTAACCATTGGCCATGCTAGTCCTCTGCTAGAGCCAGTAGGAGTTCTGTTTGAACAATATCTGGAGGGCTGTATATTCCCAACTGCTGCCTCAAGGAATATGATGTTTTAGCTCACCACACTGAAAATGTGACCATTTATTTTATTCTGTATTTTTCTCTGATGTCTGAACCACATTCACACTAGATGACTTTTGCAAATTTATATTACTAAGAAACGTTTTCAAACTTAAATTAATACAATTTATAGTTAAACCACTGGTATAGCGCACTGGCTGTATCGCTCAGTGGTTTAGGTATTTGACTTTGGAGCTAGAGTTTGGGAGTTCAATTCCCCACTGTGCCTTTTGAAGGAGAGCCAGCCTGTCTACTTATGGGCAAGCTACACAATCCCAGGATAGCCCTAGAAGAAGTGGTAAGCTACTTCTATGTATTCACCCCCTAGAAAAACTTGGAAAACTTCACCATAAATCTGAATCAACCCGACAGCACACAACTACCACAACTATAGTTAAATTTAATTTTATCTTTTAAAATTCTTTTAAGAAGTTTCTAAGTCTCTTTGAGTACTTTTTTTTTAGTAAAAAGGCAACGTTTAAATGCTAGATAAATAAATGCTAAAGAAATGCTAAATAAACCACTCAGCCAATAGCTTGCTTTAAACTCTTGACTGAACAGTCAATATAGTGAATGGATTATCTGGAATTTGACATGCTACCATAAACTAGCACTCTATTTAAGATGACCCATTCACCACATAAATGGCATGTTAACAGAGGTGAGCAAATGAGCTACAATTATTTAGTAACAAGAAGGCACTCTATACATGTTCAGAGTAATTTACTGGTTCAAGCCCTGAATTCTGCAGACATTCACAGCAAAGGTATAGTGAGTCCTGCATCCTCAAATCAGTCACGTTTGACACTAGGATTTGTGAATTGCACAGTATTTTGTTAATGAGAACACTAGTTTTTTTTATTCCAGATACTTACCTCTGAAGCCATCAGTATCGTATTAGAATCAGTTGACAGTTTGTTATATAACAAAGAAAATCACATTTTAAAAACAGTAAACATGTAAGAGATTCACATCTCAAGGCAAAAAAAGAGTTTCAACTCTTTTTTAAAGAAACACCCAACCATCGTGCAAGTACACCCAACCATTGTTCAGAAGCAACAGACAGTGCTTACCAGCCAAGAGGTGGAGTTATCTGCCCAACACTGCCAGGAGATAGGGGGTAGAAGGAGGGGATATCAGGACCTGGAGGATGCCTGGACATGCCTGTTAAAAAGCATATAGTGCACATTGTCATTTTACCCAGCGCAACATAGAGACTATGGTAAGAACTCAATATATCAAGCATAAATTAAGAAAAAAGAAAAATTAAGCTGCCTTTTATTTACCACTTTTAAAAAATGATTCTATAACATGTTATTTCATCTGACCCACGCTGTGAACAGGGACAGGAAAAAGATTCACTGGATTTGCTTTTACATATGAAAATACTACCCGTTTTGGACCTTTTAAGACTGCCACTGTAATGGAATAAACTTTGCCACAGAAATCTATGTATTTGCAAAAGGGAGAAAGTGCATAGAATATCCATACATTTTCAAAGTCTATCTACATCCATACAAATACATTTTAAACTATGAAAAAATATGTACAGTAAAGGAATATATACAGTTGAAATATTTATATTTTAAAAAACCTATACATTTTGAAAAAATTCACATGAAAGTATGCACCAACTTTTGTGTGTGGTAGAAGTCTCACAACCCAATATAGAAATGAAACAGCATGATATGCGGGTAGAGAAATGGACTGACAGATTTTCATCTCTACATCTATGAATGCTGACATCTTAACTACCTCTTGTTCTAGGAATTAAACCTCACTGCTTGACAGGAAAAGGGTAACCAAGGCACAAGATGCACAGACTCTCATTGAAGTCACAGGCACACAAAAGGTGAAGGAAAAATGAAAGCATTTTGCTCCTTGCCAAAATAATTTTTAGGTGCTAAAGCTGGAGTGTGGGCAAGTGTAAAAACTGCTGTATTATGATAGAAGAGGAGAATGCAAATGCAAAGGGTTAGACCAAGACTAATTTTCATGACTCAAAACCCACAGGACTTAAGTTATGACTCACTAATTTCAGTGGCTTCAATGGAACCCAAGTTCAAATTAGTCTGGATTCTACCCTGTATCAACGTACAGCCAGGGGGTATGGTGATTCTGCCATCTTCAAGTGCCATGTATTTGTAAATACAGTGATATTGTGGGTTTGTATGGCTGTGTAGGTATAATTAATCAATATACATAGGCTGAGTACTGGAATGATTGGCTGATAAGTGACAATGTTGAAGACAAGGCGTAATTCTGATAAAGTGATGTGTTCAAAATGTGATGTGTAATGGCAATTAAGCAGCTTTGAAAAGTAACAGGTTACATTAGTAGTCTGGAATAGTCTGTGAAAGGGTTGCTTAGAGTGTCTGTCTTGAATTAATGAGGAGAAAAGGGTTAAGGAAATTGTGTGTTGTGTAGAATCTGTAGAAACAGCTACAGTAATTATACAGTTTAAAGATTGAAGAGTAGATTATAAGGGAGTTTGCGTGAATATGAAAAATATTATCTAAATTATCATTAATTGTCCACATCAGTTTAAACTACAGTATCTTATAAATTACCCTTTTCTGCTTTCCTTTTACCTGTATTCCCCAAATGAATTCTTTTTGTTTGATCTTGAGAAAAACTGTCCTCATTATTTATTTTTAAGTTACGTATAATCCTTAAAGATATTTAACAGTTAGAAAAAATGGAGTGTGTAACACCCATGTCAGCTCAGAAAATGCTGTACCAAAACTTGAAGAAGACAAAAGGTTACAGTTCAAGAAAACCTCTTCACTTAGGAATTAAATACTGTACTGTAATATAAAGACTAGTTGGGGCAGGAAGGCATTGGCTGGTTAGCACAGAAGGGGCAACCCAACACATTTTCCATAAGTTCAGGAGTGTTCGTACTTTGAACTAAGGCTAAACCCAGTGGCACTAAGAAGAAGTGACTAAGTATTAAGGCAAAAGAGCCAGTAGGACCTGAAACTATCTAGGAATGTGCAACCTTCTAGAGCGGTGGTTCTTAACCTTGGGTTACTCAGGTGTTTTTGAACTGCAACTCCCAGAAACACCAGCCAGCACAGCTGGTGGTGAAGGCTTCTGGGAGTTGCAGTCCAAAAACACCTGAGTAACCCAAGGTTAAGAACCACTGTTCTAGAGAAGGAACAACTTGGGAATACTGAAATCTTGGACACCATGATTCTAGGAATACATCTTTTATGGGAACAGGTTGTTGTTTTTTATGGTGCATTCAATAAAATTCACAATCCTACATGCTATCATTTGAAATTAATGTTATTACCTGGCAAATTATCCATTTCTGTTAAACATGGATGGTGCCCATACTCAGCAAATTTGAGTAAATTGGCAAATATGTCAATTTTGTGTAGTCGCGAAGGCTTTCATGGCTGGGATCTAATGGTTGCTGTGGGTTTTTCGGGCTCTTTGGCCGTGTTCTGAACGTTGTTCCTCCTAACATTTCACCAGTCTCTGTGGCCAGCATCTTCAGAGGACGCTCTGTCCTCTGAAGATGCCAGCCACAGAGACTGGCGAAATGTTAGGAGGAACAACGTTCAGAACACGGCCAAAGAGCCCGAAAAACCCACAGCAAGCATGTCAATTTTGCATTTTACCACATTCAGATGATGAATTTCCATGAATTTCAATTAAAAATGAGCTGAAATGAAATCCCCACCCACCCATAATGAAATCAGCTACAATTAAATTAGATTATAAAATCTATTCACCAGCTTCCAAACGACAACAGCCCAAATCCTCTTGACATACAGTACAGTGGTGCCTCGCATAGCGATCGCTCCGTTTAGCGACAAAATCGCTTTGCGATTGCAAAAGTGATTGCTTTGCGATGGTCCCTATGGGCTATTTTCACTTTGCAATGATCGCAGGGAAGCGATCATCGCAAAGCCTCCATTTTCGGCCAGCTGATTGGCGGTTTCAAAATGGCCGTCGGGTAAACAAAATGGCGACCTGCTGTTTTCAGGCACGGATTCCTCACTTTAGAAGCACCGCAAATGGCGGCGCTATGGAGGATTTTCGCTCAAAGGTGAGTTTTAAGCCTATAGGAACATATTAATCCCGTTTTAATGCGTTTCTATGGGCTTTTTCATTTCGCTTAGTGATGCTATTGCTTAGCAGCGATTTTTTCAGAATGAATTAACATCGCTAAGCGAGGCACCACTGTATATCACTCCAGCCAGATGATATCATCACTCATCCATTCACTTTCAGGTTCTAACGCTCCATGGGGTTCCTTTTTCTTTTCCTGAGAAAACCTTCAGGAACCTTAAAATAGCAGGGGGAAGCCTTCAATGGCCACAAATCACTGCAGGATTGTTGCTAGCATGATTGGGACACTGGTTTGGTAGTGACTTTTGGCTACTAAAACGTCCCACCCACTCAATTCAGAGGCTCCCAAAGGCTTCCCAGGGCAAAAAAAGGAGAGGATGGAAAGTTGTACAAGAAGATTTCAGCCACTATCTGAAATCCTGTTGCTTAGTATAGCAAGTTACACTATAGTAGTCATGTTGAATAGGAAGTTGATAACTCATCTCATTCATAATTTCCATTAATTCAACAGGCTTACTCTAGTCACTACTTACTTTAGTATAGTTAATTACAGTTGGAGCAGGCCCACTTGAATCAATGGAATGTATGGACAAGATTACTTGCCAAATTCCAGTTGATTCAATGGGCCCACTCTTGTGCAATTTACTGTATTAAGCAACAGGATTCCAGCCTTGGAACGGTTACATGTCATGTTCCGAAGAGATAAGTCTTTGGGATGGTTGCAGCAAGAAGACTTGTGTCACCTTAAAGGGCTAATAGATTTGCTGTGCCATAAACTTTCACAAATCAGAATACACTTTGTTGGATGCACGGTCACCTCAGTATATAAATATATATTCACCCCTAGTACAAAGAGAAGGACAAATCCACACAAGTAGGTGCTTGTATTTTATCTATAGCAAAGACAAAAAGATCAAGCAGCGCATGATGTGGCTGGCGATGCACCATAACACTAAGCAAAACAAAAAACAAAAAAACCCACATGAATTCAAGATGTAATCACAATGTGTAGCTTTGTATCACCTAACCCTGACTGGTAAAGAAGGAGTATAGCAAGATGAGGACAAACACACCTTACAATGTCCTGGAAGACTGAAGTGTTAATATCTTGAGTGAACACATGTTCAGCATCTGATTTGGGTCTATTTTTCCTCTTAAAGCTGACACAGTTCCATTTAGTCTCAGGCAACAGCAAAGGGCATAAATGATAGATGATATCCTTGTAGCGATCATCACAGGGTAAACGTCACAATCATATTAGAAGATAGGCGGATTATATTTTATAAAATTCTGTGGCATTGTTCCCAATGCCTTGATGACTATGGGTACAACTGAAATGTGTTTCATCTACAAGCAAGTTTTTTCTATTGCCAGGTCTCTGTATTTTGCTAATTTCCCCAATTCATCATCATCGTTGTTGTTGTTGTTGTTGTTGTTGTTGTTGTTATGTGCTGCCATGCCATTTCCAAGTTATGGTGACATTTAGTTTTCTGGATATCGTCAGAAATGGTTTACCCATTCCTCCTTCTGGTAGTGCTTTGGGACTGTGCAGCTTGCAAAGTTCTTGCGGGTAGCAGGTTATCTAACCTCATCAGCCATCCATGCCCTGGGTGATCTTGGCTGGTTCTTCTCCTGGGAGGTACACTGGGCATTTGAACTCTTACCCCCTAGCTGAGCAGCCATTGACTCCAACTCTCTGAGTTCTACCAGCTCAGAAATATAATTATTTATTTTATATAACCATCTTATTTATAGGCCACCTCTCTCCAGAAAAAGGGGACAAGATAATTAGATTGTAAGATTTGGTTATAGATGACAGATTATGTGATAGGCTCTGAACAGTAGCTGAAAGCAAGTAAATATGTGTCATAGCCCATTGTTTTAAAGGTATGTTTAAGCCCCAGGCATTAAGGAACTGTGGAACTGCTTTACAGAGTGTTCCACAGTAATGCAATGAAAACGAGTGAAGAATTTGACAGAACATCATCCACGTATCCCAGAAAGAAATAGGAGCTAAGAAGACGCAAAGTCACTCTGATCCTCAGGCACTTTCCATATGCTATAGATTATTATTCCCATTA